AACCAAAAAAAAAAAAAAAAAAAAATGATCCTTTAGACTGGGCACGGTGGCTCAAACCTATAATCCCAGCACTTTAGGAAGCCCAAGTTAGAGGATTACCTGAGCCCACAGATTCAAGACCAGCCTGAGCGACTTGGCAAGGCCTCTTCTCTACCATATATTTAAAAAGCCAGGCATGGTGGCATATGCCTGTAGTTCCAGCTACTTGGAAGGCTGAGGCAGAAGGATCACCTGAACCCAGCAGGTCAAGGCTGAGGTGGCCGTGAGTATGCCCCTGCCTTTGTGACAGAGTTAGAGACTTTAACTAAAAAAAAAAAAAAAAAAAAAAAAAAGAACGACCCTTTGTCAACTGAAAAGTCACAAGGTTCATAAATTTGGAATAGAGAGCTTTATTATTATTTTTTCCAAGTCCCAAGAAAGCAGGATTTATTGAGAGAACAGAAAAGCTTCCACAGTGGGAGGGGACCCAAAGGGGTTGCCTGAGGCCTTTCTTTCTTTCTTTTCTTTTCTTTTCTTTTTTTTTTTTTGAGTTGGAGTCTCACTCCATCACCCATGCTGGAGTGCACACTCACAGCCACTCCAACCTCGACCTGCTGGGCTCAGGCAATCCTTCCGCCTCAGCCTTCCAGGTAGCCGGAACTACAGGTATGCGCTACCACAACCAGCTAATTTTTTATTTATTGCAGAGACGAGGTTTCACCAGGATACCTGGGCTGGTCGGGAACCCATGGGCTCCCAAAGTGCTGTGATTACAGACTGAGCCACCGAGCCTGGCCTGCTTTATTTCATATAAAGGGTTGCAGCCTGTCTGCTGGGTTTCCCACAAGCTGGGAAGTGTAGCCTCAGGCAGAAAGCAGGAACATCCATTTCAAGGAAGAGGAACCCAGCAAGCTTTTTTTTCCCTTTTCTTTTCTTTTCTTTTTTTTAGTCAGAACCTCACTGCGTAGCCCAGCCTGAAATGCAGTGGCACGCTACACTGCAGCCTTGACCTGCTGGGCTCAGGGGATCCTTCCGCCTCAGCCTTCCAAGTAGTTGGAACTTCAGGTATGCGCCACCATGCCCGGTTAATTTTTTCATTTATTGTAGAGATAAGGTCTTGCCAAGTTGTCTAGGCTGGGCTCAAACCTGTGAGCTCAGGCAGTCCTCTCACCTTGGCCTCCCAAAGTGCTGGGATTATAGGCATGAGACACCATGCCCTGTCCCAGCAAGCCTTTTCAAATAGATAGTTTCTGTTTAACAGGAAGGAAAATCTAATGGTGGTAGTGAGGGCGGAGATATAATGAATCATGTCCAACCAGCTGCTCTGTCATAGCCAGGAACTCAGTTTTTAAGGTTTTTCTAGGATCCCCTGGGCCAAGAAGAGGTATGTTCAGTCCGTTGGGGGACTTAGGGTTTTATTTTTGTTTCTCATTTCCCCCATTTGGTCGAGATTTGCCAGAGGTGGCATCAATGGTGAAACTTTTGCTTTGTCCCTTATCATTGCTGGTGTGGTATGGCTACTCTGCCTGGGTTCATCCTGTCTCTCGATGGGACCCCTATGGCCAAGAGACTCAGAGCCAAAAGATTTATAATCAATCTTTTAGGCCAGGCAGGTATGGAGGTGTACAGGCACTTATCAACTCCTAAAACCTTTTAAGCATTGTAGGAGCCAATAACCAAAAACAGAAAAGAGAGGTTACAAAATTGACTTATCTATAAGTTTTATGCATTGAGCTACTGTATCTTGTCTTTAGTTATAGACTAGTAGCAATTAGCTGTATAAAACCTAACATTTTGTTAAAATCATTTGAATTAAGGAATTTAGAGAATTTTGTTATGCATTTAAAATGATTTTGCGATCTCTTTTGTAATTTGTCCTAAGGTAGCTGAAAAATTCTAATCATATCTCTATTTGCATAAATCCTGTAACTGGGAAAAACTATACTCAGGAGGCTCTTTCAGCACATATCTTGACATCCTCTTGGTAATTATCTATTAAGTCTGTGGGAAGCAGGAATTTTCCATGATTGGGATGGATGGAAAGGGGGCCACATTGTGGCCTAGGAGGCAGAGTCCCTCAATACATGCTTGTCTTTGATTTGGAGGTTCTGAACTAATTTTATTCCCTTAAAACCAGTCTTTACAATCTCACATACCCACCATCTACCTGTTTTGCAGTAATCCCTGGGCCTCGAGAAAGGATGTTTGTATAGTTTTAGTAGGAGAACATGGCTATGGAAAATACATCAAGCCCTGTAGGATTCTAAATTAGGGAGATTTGAGAGAGAACATTAATAGTTTGAGTAGTAGGAATATGCCATAAAGAAAAATTGCAACCTGGTTCTTCTTTGTTGTACCCAAGAAATAATTCAGCATTTAGTCTGAATTTTAGGTGTTGGGGACCGACCGTAAAGGTCTGCCTTCTGACATGCTTGAGGAGACTGATGACCCCAGAGGGCATGGCACGTCCAGGAAAGCAGTGGTTCTGCTTCTCCTGCTTTGCTTAGTCATCCTGCCGGTGGAAACCCTAGAGGCTGAGAAATTAAAGTTAACTCAGCAATCACAGAAAAAAGGCTCTGAAGAATTGAGGGGAGCCGGGCTCGGTGGCTCACCCTGTAATCCCGTGCTTTGGGTGGCTGAGGTGAGTGGATTGCCTGAGCCCGCGGGTTCGAGACCCACCTGGGCAACTTGGCTAGACCTCATCTCTACAATAAATCAAAAAATCAGCCGGGCGTGGTTGTGCACAACTGTAGTTCCAGCTACTCGGAAGGCTGAGGCGGAAGGATCGTCGGAGCCCAGCAGGTCGAGGCTGCGGTGGCCAGGAGCGGCCACTGCACTCCAGTCTGGGCGACAGAATGAGACTCCAACTCAAAAAAAAAAAAAAAAAAGAATTGAGGGGAATTTTATCTACTCACCCTGTGGTTATAGCACAGAGAGGGAAAAATTGTAGCCTATCCTGTAGTGACGAGACAAGAAATTCCCATTAAAGTACTGGATAAAATTCTTACCCCCTTAAGGGGAGCCCTCAACATTATGCTAAGAAACTGGGGCTGACATTATAGGGGCCCTGGAGGTCGGCCTACCAATGCACAAACAGGAACCCACTTTCCCTGCTAAGGAATTGTAGATGAAAGTTATAAATATCATGTGTTTCTTAGAGGCAAATTGGCACCATTTGTTCCTTCAGATTGGAGACAAGTCAGAGAGGTATGGGGCTGCAGATGGCAGCCCATTAATTGCAGATTGTTGTGCAGTTTGCACTGGCAGGACCCCAAGAAATGTCAGTGTTCCGGAGTTGGTTTCTTTATGATTAAACAAATAAAAGTTTAGTACCTTGCAGCAGAAAATATTTGACAAAGTGTACCTGGCCATAGTTAAATATATAATAGGTTGATTTTTGTTGTTACACGGTTTCTAGGAAAAGATTAGATATTAGTTTTAATATACAGGTTATGTTTAATTTTGAAAGGTCATAGGTAGCTGGGCTCGGTGGCTCAACCTGTAATCCCGCACCTTTGGGAGGC